ATTTTGAAAGTCATATTTGTAAAACAAAACAAAATATCAGAGATTTTATTGATTTATGTTCCATTCCCTGTCTGTCAGAGCATTGCTTGTTATGCTTTTCCAGTCCAAAGTAGTAGAGGGAATTTATATTTAAAAGCACTTTATTTTGGGAAATTGGCCTGAAACCTAAGAATCAAACCTAAGATTATAATAATGTGTTAAATTTTATACAATATTAAATTTTGGATTCCTTTATAGGCCTATGGAATATGGATTACCTAAGAGCGAGGTGCCAAGAAATCCAAGCTGAAAAAGCAAGGCAAGTCAATAATTTTTATTGTTAGGAGCCTTATGAGAAAGAATTCTGATGAATATACTGGGATTGGGAGAATACTCGTTAATAATCGAGAAAGTTCACAGTGGAGTGAATCTCAAAGAATATAATCCAAGTAAGAATGCCCTATTTCATCATTCACACTTTTTTCAGAATCAGGAGATTAAAACTTTGAAGCCATCTGAATTTTGCAATAAGGAAAGTTTTAGAAGAAAAGGAAGTTTAGAGACTGGTAAAAATAATGCAAGATAGAGTTCATTCTACCACATATTAAGCTGCGTGTATGTTAGAGAGCTTACACATTAAAGAAACACTGTAAATATAACATGTGGGGAAAACCTCAAGAAAGTGGTCCTCAGAGTTATTCAGAGAATTCACACAGGCCAAAAGGAAAAAGGGAAAAAAAGCCTCACAAATGTAATGAATTTGGAAATGTTTCTCTAGGAATGGAGCACTCGTGAAACACCAGAACACTCAGGCCAGAGAGAAAACTCCAGAGCGAGGAAAATCCTCCGAGAAATCTTCCCCGGCAGGGCATCAGAATACTCATTCGAAGGAGAAACCCCCGGAAAGTGGAAAGTCTTCCTCTAAGAACGGAGATGTCACAACCCATCAGAAAACTGCCACCAGAGAGAAACGCTATGAATGTAAAGAATGTGAGAAGACTTTCTACCACCTGTCATCTCTCAGCAGACATCTGAGAACGCATGTCGGGGATAAACCCTATGAGTGTAATCAGTGTGACAAAGCCTTTTATCAAAAGCCACACCTTATGGAACATCAGAAAACACACACAGGGGAGAAACCTTATGAATGTGCAGAATGTGGGAAGTTCTTCTATGTGAAGGCGTACCTCATGGTACATCAGAAAACACACACAGGGGAGAAACCCTATGAATGTAAGGAATGTGGGAAAGCCTTTTCCCAGAAGTCACACCTCACAGTTCATCAGAGAACACACACTGGGGAGAAACCCTATAAGTGTACAGAATGTGGGAAAGCCTTTTCTAGGAACACACACCTCAGAACCCATCAGAGAAGTCACACAGGAGAGAAACCATATGAATGTAGTGAATGTAAAAAATCCTTCTACCAAAAGTCAGCCCTCACAGTACATCAGCGAACTCACACAGGAGAGAGACCCTTTGAATGTAATAAATGTGGGAAAAACTTTTACTATAAATCAGACCTCACTAAACATCAGAGAAAACACACAGGAGAGAAGCCTTATGAATGTAATGAATGTGGTAAATCTTTCTCTGTGAATTCAGTCCTCAGATTGCATCAAAGAACTCACACAGGGGAGAAACCCTATGAATGTGTTGAATGTAAGAAACGCTTCTCTCAGAAGTCATACTTTGTCATACATACAAGAAAACACACAGGAGAGAAACCTTACGCATGCAAGGAATGTGGGAAAACCTTTATCCAGAGGTCAAAACTCACAGCACATCAAAAGACACACATAGGGGAAAAATAGTATGAATGAAGAAATTCATCCTGTCTCAATTCATTCTGCTGAGTAATCAGATAAGCTCATAAAAAGAGATAAACCTTATGAATATTACCAGTGTGGGGATGTATTTGGTCATAATCTTTCTGTAAACATATAGAGACGCTTTCTGAGAATTTATAAAAGAGAAATATTGTCATATATCAACTTTTACTAAATATCAGAAAGCATAGAAGGAAGAAGCCCTGTAAATAAAAATATATGTCAACATAGACATCGCACAGGAGCAAATCTTACAAGTAAAATGAATGTCAGAAAATTTTTCTGTCAGTCCCCCATTGCAAAACATCTAAGAGCTCATAAGTATGAGAAATCCTTATCTGTATCTTGAGCTCACATATTAAAACTCAAATGAGGTAAATGCAAGGATGTGACAAATATAGAACCCTTTTTCAAGAAGTGATGTTTCATTGAATGTTAGATTGTTGATAGTGGAACAAAGCCTTTATAGATATTTTAAATATGTGAAAATTTTCTAACAAAATTTCAGAGAACATATACTGATTGAACACTGAATACTAGAAGCTGTATTGCAGATTGATTCCAATATTTTCTTTTTTTAAAAGAAACTTGCAAATGTCTGGGTATATGAAGCTTTTTTAAAGCACGGATAAATCAAGCAATCAGGCAGCAGCACTTAGAATAAGTGGAGAGTCCTTTAAGATGTAGGACTCGTGTATGTGAGTGTGTTACATTGTGTGCTTGATATGCATGTGAACCTACTTATAATTGTATATAGGAAATGTGTAACCTTCAATCAACTATTATGTATATAAAGATGTTTTGTATGAAATCTCAGCAGTATTTCCTGTTAAAGTGCAATATTCTTTTAAAATCATAATGCATATTTTGTCTTATTTTCTTGTAAACAAATGGATTTAGACATCATTACTGAATTAATCTTTTTTTAAAAAGCTATAAGAATGCTTTTGTAAAATTTCCAACTGCCTCATGACCAGCGAAACTTTGCATGAGAGACTTATTTATTTTTAGCAAAAGCCTGACTTGATAGTTTTATATGCTGCTGACAGCAGCAATATTTATCACATTCTGCAGGATAAAAATAGATACTGCTTTGTAAAGAAATATTGTAATGCTAATGACTTCATAGGGTGCACAGCTGTCTGCTTCTGTAGTTAGTACAAGAATCTTAAATGTTCTTCACTACCTTTTTCTAACTAGTGTAGCACCATGGCATAGTGGGTAAGATTGTGGACTCTGACCATCTGCCTAGGCTTCAATGCTTGCATGGAGCATACCACATAACCTCTCTGTGCCTCAGTGTTTGTGTATTTGTTTCTGTAAATGTAATGGTACTTATGTCTTATGCTGCTTTAATCCCTAAATGGGTTAATATTTTTAAAGCACTTAGAATTAGTGTCTAGGGTACAGGGAGAGCTGTTTGTTAGATATTGTCATCGTTATAATTCACCTTTCCTGCATTATATTGTACTATTTTTCCTGAATTGCACCCTACTTTATTGCTGGCAGTGCCTTGATTTGATTTAATTTTGTTGTCCATTTCTCCCGCAAGTGCTTTAGGGACAAGGGTTGTTGGCACTTTACAGCCCCTGGACCAGATGTGGCTGATTGTCTGTTTTCAGTCTACTAGCTAAAAATAGTTTTGCATTTTAAAATGGTTATGAAAAAACACTATTTATGATATGAAACATATATGAAATTTGAATTCTACTGTCCATACAAACCAAACCCATTGCTATTAAGTTGATTCTGACTCACAGCCACCCTATTTAGGGCTTCTGAGGCTGTAAATCTTTATAGAAGGTATGGGAGCAGATAGCCTCATCTTGCTCCCACAGAGTGGATGGTGGATTTGAACTGCCAACCTATGGTCAGCAGTCTAACACTTAACCAATACCACCACTAAACTTCCATTTACTGTCCCTAAATAAGATTTTATTATAAAAATAAACCAAAAATATTTATTTATGAGTTGTCTAGAGATGCCTTCATTTTATAATGGCAGAATTGAGATTGTATTAGAGACTACCATATGGCCTACCTAGCCTAAGATATTTATGATCTGGTGCTTTGCACAATGAATTTGCCAATTCCTGATGTATGCTAATCTTGGGAGGCCTTAACAGTGATTGGTTTCATGGTGGGCATATAACCAGAATCTTGCCAATGAAGTATTTAAGGCATATTCTGAGGGACTTAGAGCAAATGTTATTGTTGGCAAGAGACATTAGGTCCACACTGCCTTGTGTGGACAGGTTACTTCATTGCATTTTATTACCCCTAATGACAGAAGAACAGAAAAGTGCTAAAAACATAGGTAAATGATAATAACACTGAAAAGCTGAATTTTCCAATCCTTGAGATACATTTAGGGGATTTTTGTGATGTTAGATCATAAAATTTTCTGAAGATCTTTAAATCAAAGATGTTGAAGTATTCTGTTACATAGAACTGAAATACATTGCAACAAATATAGAAACATACTTTTATAAATATTATTCTTCAGAAATGATGTATGTAACAGTTTGTGAGTAGGTAGGCTTTTTTCAGTATATTTATGTGTTAAAAATCTAAGTGTAAGAAGTAAAGTTATTTTTTTCAAAGAAATGTGTTTTCACTTGCTGAATTTTTATAGTATCAAAACGAGATTTCCTGATAGAATCTAGCAGTAAATATATTGAGTGAACATTGTCTGAATTAAATTGACAATAGACCCACCCTCACAGTATTACTTTATTTTCTTCAATGCCATTTTCCCCTATATTTATTATTTTCTCACTGTATCATGATAAAGTGTAAACTTTATATCACACTTAGTTACATAATTTAATAACAAAAAACTCAAAATATCTAACTCTGTCTGCCACATATACTAGTAAGCTATAAAATTATTTTATTGTCTGTACTTCATGTAATTGTCAAATCTGCTTCAGTTTAAGCCCTGCCACCTTATTTTCTCTTCCTAATAAAGATTACTTCCTTGATGTTCAATGTCTTAAGCATACCTCATTTGGATTTGTCTGTTGATTGACACTGATTCACACCTTGTAATTGTGTGTTGTTGAGTTGATTCTAGCTCATAGCACTCCACATGGCAGTACTTTCTTGGGTGTAAACTTTATGGGAACAGATTGCCGGTTCTTTCTATGGTGGAGCTGATGGATAGTTTCTAACTTCCACCTTTTTAATTAACACATATTATGGATTGAATTATGTATCCCCAAATTTTGTTGTTAGCTTGGTTCTCACTCATAGTGACCCTATGTACAACAGAAAGAAACACTGCCCGGTCCTGTGTCATCCTTATCATTGTTCTTATGCTTGAGACCATCAATGCAGCCTCTGTGTCAATCCATCTTGCCTTAGGTCTTCCTCTTTTTTTGCTAGCTCTCTACCATACATGATGTCTTTCTCCAGGGACTGGTCTCTCCTAACATGTCCAAAGTACATGATGCAAAGTCTTGCTATCCTTGCCTCTCAGTAGCATTTTGGCTGTACTTCTTCCAAAACAGATTGGTTGTTCTTTTGGCTATCCATGGGATTTCCATTGTTCTTTGCCTGCATCACAAGTCAAATGCATAGATTACTCTTCGGTCTTCTTTATTTAATGCCCAACTTTCACATGCATATGAGGCAATTAAAAATGCCATGCTTGGGTCTGGCTCACCTTTATCCTCAAAGTAACATCCTTGCTTTCCAACACTTTAAAGAGGTCTTGTACAACAGATTTACCCAATGCAGTGTGTCCTTTGATCTCTAGACTGCTGCTTTCATGAGCACCGGTTGTGTATCCAAGCAAGACAAAATCCTTGACAACTGCAATCTTTTTTCTGTTTATCATGATGTTACTTACTGATGCAGTTATGAGGATTTTTATTTTCTTTACATTGAGTTATAATTCATATTGAAGGTTTAAATCCTTGATCTTCAGCAAGTGCTTCAAGTCCTCTTCACTCTCCGCAAGCAAGGTTGTGTCATCTGCACATCACAGGTTTTAAATCATGTGTCCTCCAATCCTGATGCACCATTCATCATACAATCCAGCTTCTCTGATTATGTCCTCAGTATACAGTGTGAATAATCGTGAGAGGATACAAGCCTGATGCACATCTTTCCTGATTTTAAAACATGCAATATTCCCATATTCTGCTCATATAACTGCCTCTTGATCCACAGACAGGTTCCACATGAGCACAATGTAGTGTTCTGGAATTCCCATTCTTCTCAATGCCATCTATAGTTTGTTATGGCCCACACAGTCAAATGCCATAGCATAGTCAATGAACAAACGTAAGCATCATTTTGGTGTTCTCTGATTTCAGCCAAGATCCATTTGACATCAGCAATGATACTCTTGTTCAAGTCTTCTTCTTAATCCAGCCTGAATCTCTGGCAGTATCTTCTCAATGTACTGCTGCAACTGTTGTTGGATGATCTTCAGCAAACCTTTACTTACATGTGATATTGATTATATCACTCTATAATTTGTGCATTCTGCTGGGTCACCTTTCTTTGGAATTGGTAACAAATATGGATCTTTTCCAATCATTTGGCCAGGTGTAGACAAGTGAGTGTGTCCAGGGCTTCATCATCTTGTGGGAACATTTCAATTGATATTCCATCAATTCCTGGAGCCTTTTTTTTTTACTAGTGTTTTCAGTGCAGCTTGAACTTCCTTTAGTGCCATTGGCTCTTGCTCATAAGCTACCTCTTGAAATGGTTAAATGTCAGCCAGTTCTTTTTGGTACAGTGACTGTGTATTCTTTCCACCTTCTTTTGATGCTTCCTACATGATTCAATATTTTGCCCAGAGAATCTTTCAAGATTGCAATTCTAGGTTTGATATGCTGAGCATGTTCTTCCTCTTGGGTTTTCTAACTCTGTGAACGTTTTATTATATTACTTTGTCTTCCTGAGGTGCCCTTTGAAATTTTCCATTCAGTTCTTTGATTTCATCATTTCTTCCATTTGCTACTCTATGATTAAAAGCAAGTTCCAGAGTCTCTTATGACATTCACTTTAATCTTTTCTTTCTTTCCTGTCTTTTTAATGACCTTTTACTTTCTTCAGTAGTCATGTTCTTGGTACCACCCCACAGCTCTTCTGGTCTTGTATCATTAGTGTTCAGTGAGTCAAATCTGTTCTTGAGATGTTCTCAAAATTCAGGTGAGAGGGACTCAAGGTCGTATTTTGGCTCTCATGAACGTATATTAATTTTCTTCAGCTACACTCTGAACATTTGAGCAATTGATGGTCTGTCCCACATTCATCCCTGGGCCTTGTTTTAGTTGCAGATTGCATGTTTGATCAATTTCAGTCTGAAGAAGTTGGTAGAATTCTTCAATATCTTCATTAGCTTCAGTTGTTGGTGCATACATTTGAATAGTAGCTGTATTGATTGGATTTCCTTGAATGCAGATAGATAT